GCATATATGAAATGTAAAACGGTTGATACACGATTACATGCGAGTTTGTCGGTGTGTGCACATTAGGCTGGTCCAAATTTGTATCCCAGCCTCACCCCCAGAACTGAGCAATATCAGAATAAAGATTCGTGTTCATGGCATTGTTATAAAATCGTAAAACAAAATACTTTATGATCGAACAAGAATGGCTCCTTTCATAAATCTTCAAAAACTTAAACTATGATGCTTATTTAACTTTAAAATTTTACTAACAATTTTTTCACAAGGGATGTTCTTACTCACAAATATCAGCCTACTCAGTACATCAGAATTCTATACAAAGAATATGTTAGACGCAAATTTAAAAATTTTTTAAGATTTTGAGTATTTTAAATTAAGTAAATATCTTACGTTAAAAATTAGGTGTCAAACCTATAGAAAAATACGCCAGGGTAGATATTAACTGATTTCAAAATACAAAAATACGCATGGCTTTTTTCCATTTTCCACAATTCCGTGAGGTGGCAGCAGGAAATTCCAAAATGTTCGGTTTTCTTTATATTATGGGATCACCCTAGCGTACTTACCACTATGTATTTTTCTTTGCATATGACAGCATACATACAATATAATTTTATTTTTCGATTTATGTTTATGTTTTTTGTCTCCGTTTATTATCCTTTTTATCCCCTTTATTACATACATTTTTTTTATAAAACCGTTTTCTATTAATTGTTAAAAGAAAACTCGTCCCCTCTTTTCCAGCTCATCTTTATTCGTTCCACTTCTCATTTCTTTGCCCTTTGTCCCCTTTATTCCAAAACCTTGTAAATTCCTGCTTTATGGAATTTTTCAGAAACCTCTTATGTGCCCGTTTTCTACTGCCTTTCGCCTCCCGTTTTCTCTTTTCTTTGATCTGTCATTTTTAATGTCTCTTTTCTCCATTTATTACTCTTCTCATTTGTCACCTTTACTCCTTTGATATTTTTGCCTTTTTTGCCAAAAACTTTTCACGGTGTTATTTCCGTATTTTATAATACCTTTAAAAATAATTTTTTTCGAACCAGTTACTTATTTTTATTCTTACTAATTTTATTACTAATTTCTCCTTGTATTTTCTTTTTTAGACTGCTTTCTACTGCCTTTTGAGCTCCTGATTTTCGTCTGTGATTTCTAACCCGTTCATTACACAATTTATATAATTCATCAAAAAAGGCCTTTTCTTCCCATAGCTTTCATTGTTTCTATCAACCTTATTGTTTTCCTTGTTTGCCACTCTATTTCGACGGCTGAGTGGATGATCGACCTATGTCGGCAGCCGATTCAAAAACGCCCTATCTCATAACACTTTTCAAGAGTTTGAACGAAGAGCCTCCCATATGAGAATTCTATTCAAAAACAACCTTTCTCAGCTGCCTATTCAAAAACGTCCTAATTTTTAGATAGGGCCTTCTTGAAAAGTTCTCTGAGATAAGGCGTTTTCGATTTTTCAAGTTTCAATACATTTTGCTACTTTTCTTGCTGTCCTCTCCTCTGTTCCTATCTTGCTTTTATATTTGCCCTTTTCTACTACGTTTGTTAATCATTTTTTCTTCCAATTTTACTGCTAGTTTCCCTCTTATATTTGTTTCATTCATCGTTTCCACATTTTTCTTTCGTTTCTTACATTATCCTTCTCTACTTACTATTTTACTGATCTTGTTTTCTGTGACTTTCAATCTACCCTGTTTCCTATATCTATATCTTATTTTTCCTGCTTGTTCACCTTATCCTCTTTTGCTCCTCTTTTATTGCCAGTTCTTGTTTACATATCCTGCTCCTCGCTCTTAATAAATTACCTTGCAACTTCTCCTTCTGTTTATTCCATTTTTCGCATATTCATTGTCTTTTCCTTTGTAGTTTTGAACTGCATATATATTTATAAGGAATTTCTCTCCTTTTCTGCTCCAAGTAGCTTCGATTCTTGCTATAGGAGGCTTCTTTTTTCAGAATCATTTTTTGTTTATTAGCTTTTCTGCTACGTTGTTCAACGATTTAACCTCCTTTTTTTAACTGTCCTTCAACCGACCAAATTTCCTGCCCTATGCTTTTCATCTCACTAGTCTAGCAAGACCTCCAAACCTATCCTACGGTCTTCACACTCTCAGCTGCCTTTCATTGGCATTCCCTCGCTGCCACAGCTTCCTTTTACTCCATTACGGAATTGCAAGTTGCAACTAAATTGTTAAAGGTGACTAGCTGCCTACTTTATCCTCCATACCTTCCTACATATGTTTTAGAATTATTGGTTTAATCCCACGCACACTCTCCAGAAAAACAACATGCATGTGACAAAGCACTAAAGAAAAAATAATAAAAAGTAGTAAATAAAAATAAAAATATTTCTCTCCAGCGTTGCTGCTACCGGAAGTTCACAAGCAAGCTACCTCTGTGCGCATTGATATGAAACTAAGTGCAATTTATTGTTGCTCTGTTGGTTTTTGTTTTACATTTCGCTTCGTACTTTTTATTGGTTTTTTTTTGTTGTTATATTGATGTTGTGGTTCTTGCTCTACATTTGTGCTTTGTGTAAGTTAAACCTGCTGCAAAAATTGTGTTTCAGTACTATATGTATATTTTATCGAATATTTTTAAAATTTTTCTTTTGCTTTTTACTATGTCGTTTAACTCTCTTAACACCTTGTGTTTTTTGTTATTATTATTTAGTTACAACATATGTATGTGCCCTTTTCTTTCATTCTTCACTTGCTCATCCACTCACTAGCGGCAGCCGCTGCAGCGCTGGAGTATATCACTTCGTAGTGTTTTCATTTCCTTTTCTGTTCAAGCCGGAAAGTAATGCAATTCTCTTTGCAGCTTTGTTCGAAAAATATTATAAAACTCACAAATGTAAGTTAGTTGGGAGCTGTCTTCAATCAAGCATATTAAGCATTGCTCCATTGTGAACAGAAATAAAAGACGTCTAAGCTAAGCTGGCGAACCCTACATTTTCTACTTGCCTTACCTTACCTTAGTATGAAATTTTTAATATTGAACTCTTCTGTTGGAATTAGTATTCAATGATCGAGGATGGGGACTTAATACAAATTTTAGCAGATCTCGCTTAACGGTTTCTATAGATAATTATAAAAAAAATTAATAAAAGAATCTTTATTCCCCACTCCCAAAATATTATGCCGACTTCGGCGGTTTTTATTATAAAACAATACACTCTAGAGATAGAATGGCATAGATGTATCATATTCGTTAAATTAATTTTGAATGACAAATATTTTTTACTTAAATATTAAGTTTTACTCGGCATCATAAAAACCTTTAGATCAAGCGAGTAGGTTTATTTTTCATAATGACCTTCATATCAGTCCTTCCAGCTTTACTTTCCTCCTTCTTTACTTCTATAAGCTTACCTTCAGTGACACTGAAAATTTTTCAATACATCTCAACTTCAACTCTGAATTTCTTACTTGTTTACTTCTGGTATTTAAATCATTATAAAATCTTCAATACAACAAGTTAGCGCGCCTAATTGTGTGCCACTTGAAGTACACCGTTTGTTTACGCAAAGTGCACTTAAGACTTTTCCAGTACTAGCTTATAAGCGATCAAGTATTTGTTGCTGATTAGCATTTTCTTTGTTAAGTCTTAATGTTTGCATTATACTTAACGGAAAAACGCGCGTGTTTGACTTTTGTTGACTACTGTAGTTGTTGTTGTACTGTAGTTGTTGACTACGTAAAGGAAGGCCTTAAATCTACTTAGTTGCACTTCAAACTTAGTCAACTGAGAAAATGTGTGTGTGGGTGTAACTCCAGCGTAAGGTACCAAAAACGAAATACTGTAGCAGGTTGTTACTTCAACTGCTCATAATTCGCTCGTTAAAAGTTGTTCGTCAATTCTCAGACGGCTTATAAAATACGGTTTAGGTTTAGTTTATAATTCAAATAGGAGGGGTTTTAATCGGGTCCTTATCATTATCATTACCATTAATTTACCACTGCAGTTAGTAAACAATTACGAATATTATTGCCACCATCATAACCATTACCATTGACAATACCATCACCATTACCATCACCATTATTATTACCATTAACATTCCTATTTCTATTTCATTATTGTTACCATTTCCACTATCATTACCATTGGCATTAACAGTACCCTATTCTATTACTATTACTATTCCTATCATCATTACCATTAATATAACCAATACCATTACTATTACAATTACCACCACCGCTTCGTATTGAGCCCCAGTATATACAATTTTTTCTACAATTATCAAACGGCTTATAAAATTTGGTTTAGGCTTAGTTAATACACCACATCAAAGGGTCTTAATCGGTTCCTTATCATTACCATTACCATTAGTATTCAATAACCATTATCATTACCAACATCATAATCATTACAATAACCATTACTTTTACTATTACCATTAACATTACCATTTCCATTTCTATTTTCTTTATTACCATTACCAATAACAGTACCATGTCTTTTAGCTTTACCATTCCCATTATCATTAGCTTTAACATTACCATTACCAATACCCTTAAGGTTATCATTACTATCACTATACAATTGCCACTCTCATTACCACTCGGCCCGCGATGAGCCTCAGTCTATAAGGAAAATTCTCCAATCGAACCAAAAATGTTTTTTTCTTTAAAGGTCACACAACCCATCCAGCTTTCCTCATTTAGAATAAATTTTCTTTTTCGGTATATCTGCAAACATTTACTTGTCGCTCTACCTCTGTACATATCATGGCCACGACGCACGCATTTTAATTAAAATCAATTTTAATTGATTTCGGAGCAAAAGTTAAACAAGCAAGGCGGTGCCACGGAAGCGAAAGTGGCCTCATGAACTACCATTGAAAAAGGCTAGCCATACAACAAACGATACAACAAACGATAAGTGCAACCATCTTTGCATAAACAAACATAATGACAGCGCAGAGGGGCGCACGAGTCGGCCGAAAGCGACTACAAGTGACTGACCAAAAATAAAGCAACAGCAAAAGCTGTAGGCAATGAAATGCCAAGCGTGAACAAAGGATAACAGCTGAACAAAAGGATATGTCGGCAAAGGGGAGAATTGCAAAATATAGCACAGCGAGTGAAGAGGAAGAGCAGAAACTGCGGGTGGGCATACCAAGTTTTGCTGATAGCACGCGAAAAAACAAGTTTTTTTTGTTAGTTGTCTTGTGACTTTTGTGTGTGTGTTTTTGTCGCATTTTCATCGCGTGTTCCATATGACAGCCACAAATTGATAAATAAATCAGGCTGTGCATGAATTTCGTCTCTGTTTTTGCTTTTAGCGCTTACATTTTCTTTTATTGTAGCACTGCTGCTGTGCCTAACTGTCAACCGTTCAATACCATCCGTTTATGTATTCGTGTTGTGAGTTGCAAGCAAAAGCCAGGCTGTGAGGCATGCATTGACATGAGCGCTTTATGTGGCCACGCGGCTTTGTATTTTTTGTGAAAAAAAAATGCGTGGCATTGAACGCCTAGAGGTAATCAGTGCTTTTGAATCAATGCGAAATTCTACAAAATGTTCAGTTAAAAAATTTTTCTAAGAATTCCTTTAAAAAGACTGGATGCAAAAATTCCATAGTAAAATTTATGACAAACAAAAATGTAGATAGTTCAAATTTTATCAAACACAACGTGTAGAAAAAAAAAATGTATATGTAGCTCAAATGTTTTTTGAAGAAACGAAATATGAATTTTTATAGCCAAGAAGTTGCAGTCTTAAAGTATAGAAAACATATGAAAAAATGTCAACACAATATATTAAAGCTTCATGAATTTCTACAAAGTATTTTCCTTGTTAAAAATCTACATAAATAAACGTCGGGCGACAAAAGCTTTTCTCCAAATTTCTAGGCAAAAAAGGGATGTTTTAAAGAGAAAAGTTATAGCGAAAAATTTTGTTAAAGAAAAAATATTATTTAAAAAAAAAAAAACAATTTTTTTAAAACAAAAACGCTTTTAGGCAACAAAAGTTGTCAGCATAAAAAATTTTAGGTTCAAACTAATTTCCTTGTAAAAAAATTAAAAAAAAAACGTAGTGCGCAAGGATAGTTCAAAGGTTTTGCGGTATATTTTCATGAAAGTTAATATTTATGTTAAACCTACAAAATTGATCTCCATTCTCAAAAATATTTTGAGAGCAAAAGATATTTGTAAAAGCAAAAAATTTACAGCCAAAAATATTTCTTTGTGTGTTTCAAGTACTTTAATCCTAACATATAATAAAACAAAATTGTATCTGGGTCAGCAAAATTTCGATTCAAATTTTGAAGCATGTTGACACCCGAAAAACATTTCGAATTGTTTAAGAAATACGATTTAAAATAAAATTAACCTACTTTAAACTCAGCGTACTGTTCCTTCCAAGCTCAAAATTATTTTTTAATTTGCATCTCCTCATATTTTCTAGAAACTTTTCCTGCCCTATACTTACATCTCTCTCTCTCTCTTTCTTTTCCTGCTAAGTCAATTTTCAAAGAAATTTAAGCAAATAAAGAAAAATACAATGTTGCTGTATTAAGTTTTCCAACAGGAGATCAGACGCCTTCAGCGGCTTGCATTTTCATGCAAATTTTCAGCGAATAAATAGGATGAAGTGTAGCGCCAGCTTATACTTGTTGCATATCTACAGCTGCATATCACCGCACTTAATGGATTCTTGTTAAAATATAAATTCCATGTAACTTCAACTGCTTATAAGTCGCTTAGAGAAAGCTAATGAGCAGAGTTATTAGTAAAAGTAACAAGTATTAAATGAATGTGTTAAGTGAATAGTTTTCCATAGTAAAACTTTATGCTTTTTTTTGTGAAAATTTTAGTAAAAGCAACAGAAATGTGAAGTAAATAACATCTATAAAAATAAAATCTATGTATGTAGCTTTCTTTAGACAACTGCAGTCCATGAAATTTGTAAGGACAAAGATTTTTTTTTGCTCTGGTAGAGGAGAAAAATCACCATTAGTTTCAATGGCAAATAAAAGACACACAGAAGCTTTTAAAAAAAAAAACGATTGTAAACATTTATGCTTTGAAATAAAATATTTAAAAATTATTTTTAATAAATTTTAATTTTAATTTTAATTTACTAATTGCCTATGTAAATCAGCCGGAAAGTATGCTATACATAATTTATGGTAACACTTGAATCTCAATTTTATTCAAATATTTAAATGTCTTCATTTCGCTAAGAGCACTGCTTTAAGAAAATTAGTGTGGCATAATTTTGGGCGCAAAACTTTAAAGCAAGTCTCAGCTGTTGCTATGCAGCGAACACAGTGTTTTTTTTTTATTAATTTTAGCCCATTCACGATATTCAATTGCAAACTTAACAGCTTCCATAAAGGAGGAAAATCTGCGCATTCGGGCTCTGCAACGCCTACAAGTATGCAATAATTTGTAATTTAAAGCTTATTTATATATATATAGATACATATTACGTGGCACAGCTGTTATGTCTGGCGATTATAATCGAAGAATATTGCAAAATAAATATCCAATGGCAGAGGTGTTATGCGAAAGAGTTGCGAAAGAAGGCACACAAAAGAAAGGGCACAGCTACAATATGAAAAACGATAAGAAATTAGTGAGGAGGCGCATAGATACCGCTGTCACGTGCCTCATTCATGTGGGCAAATTATGCTTATGACTGCTAGCGAGGGGAAGGCAAAAAATTCAAAGAGTGTGCAAGTGTAACAGCATAAACGTCAACGCTGAAAAGCTGTCAGTAATACATACAATTGCATATGCGCATGTAACTATGCAAAGTGGCAAACAGAAAGACAGATGGACAGGCAGACGGATAGACAGAACACTGATAGACAGGCTTAATATAGCGCTTGAGCGCTTGAGCTCTTGATCAGTTTCCTAGTTGAATTGGAGTGCCAGAAGGCAAGCATATAAATAGCTAGAAGCGCGCCTAAAAGCCAACTACATTTGATTATCACCAACCGAAGCAAGTAGAAGAAGGACATTTAAAACCCAACAGCCCTTTTGAGACGCTCACACATGCATAAAAGGATTTGCTAAGCACGCACACACACCCACACACACACACACACACACAAATTCTCCATAATATGAGTGATTTAAGCAACAACACTCAAGTTGATTCCATTGTTCGCATAATCTCATTGTTGTTATTGTTGTGTCTNAAGGATTTGCTAAGCACGCACACACACCCACACACACACACACACACACACAAATTCTCCATAATATGAGTGATTTAAGCAACAACACTCAAGTTGAATCCATTGTTCGCATAATCTCATTGTTGTTATTGTTGTGTCGGATAAATGATATGATTGGACGCGCCATATGTGGCATGCAGCTCTTGTAAAATGATGAAGAGAAGGAGATAAGAGTTGCAACGTCTTAGCTTTTGCTCGGCGGCGAAATTCAACAATTGACAATGTAATTGGATTTTGAAAAGCTGACAATCAGCTAGTTGACACCTGTGAGCACAGACCGAGGAAGATGAAGATAATAAGTGCAGACAATCTAGTTAGCTAATCAACAGACAGACGGCAAACTTATACATATTTACATACATTAGAAACAAAATTTATATTTAAAACGGCTTAAGTTTGTAAGATTCGCTCTAAATTCTTTGAGTACTAAAGCAATTGGATACGTAATAGATATGAACGTGAGTCTTTAAAATTGTCGCAATGCGAACAATTCCTTGAGCTAAGAAATGTTAAAATAAGTACTTAATTCGTACAAAATAGTTGCACATAATATATTTTAGAACTACGTTTTATACGAAAGTTCGCTACAAATTAGTTACTGCCCAGAACAAGCAAAAAAAAAATACTTGTGTACACATAACTACATAAAACTAAAAACTATGAGTAGAAAAAAATTTAGTACACGAAAATTCGTACCTTTTTAGTACAAAATAATTAAAATATCCTTTAGTACTCACTTTTGTACGAAACTTCGCTAAAAATAAGGGTCGTTTTCTTTTTTACTACAAAATTTTTTCGTAAGGAATTTTAATGAAATTTTTTTTTATTACAGAAAGTTAAAAAAATTATACGTAGCACTAAAATTTGTAAGTTATCTTTTAATAAAAAAATGTTTAATTAAAACTGTTTGGTAAAAAATTTTTATTACGCGAAATTAAAAAAAAACAATTATTAATCTAAAACCGTTAATTGGAAGCGCAAATTTTTCACTACCCAAAATAAAGAAAAAAAAATTGGCACCAAAATTTTTATGCTTTATTTTAGTACGAAATGTATCAATATATAATTTTTAGTCCAATTTTCTTTGGTACAAAATTTGTTCGGCACCAAATCCTGTGTTACCCTGAATTAAAAAAATCTACATTTAGAAGAAGATTGAACTGTTAGGCGTCTGAAATTATATCAAGATTTGTTTCATTATAATAATGCAAGAAACACAAATACGTTCAAATCAATGTTTTTGTGCACCTTATTGACCGCAAATATCGAAAAATTAAAACGCTAATTTATTTCCATTTGTTGCAATGCTTGTCAATTCGTAATAAGTTGTGAAACTCCCCATTGTTTTTCATTTAGAGAATTTTGGCGACCAAAATTTTGCGTAGCAATTGTCAGAATTTCACTGCTGGTTAGCACATTGGCTTAGTTAAGAAATTATAGGCTGCATACCTTTAGGCGCTAGGCAGAAAAAATACAATAACCTCAAACGATTTGTTCAACAAGTATAAGTTTTCGTGAGTAAACTCTATATATATGTTCGATTTCTTTTGTTATTTATTTGGCCTAATAACTTTATTAATAAATATATTCCATAGCTTGAGGCCGTTTTTTTAGTTTTTAATTTCCGATAGATCAACACATCTCCTAATCAGATCTTTTTACCCAGATCATTGAGATATGAATCAGCGACTCTGGATTACAAAGCCAGTGGTCTATCCACAGAGCTAAATTCGCCTTGTAAACTGTTGTTGCCCTTTCAACTTTTTTCGCTTATGTTCACCCGACTAAATTGTTTGTTGCTATTTAGTCTTGTTCATGCGATTATTGTTGTTTTTTTTTTTGCTTAAGTTCTGTTTTAGATATTAACTTGAAGGCGCACTCGTCCTTAAGTATTTTGTTATTGACATTTACTTGGACTAAAAACAATTTTATTGAGTTTTCTTTTGTGTGAGTTTTCTTTTGTGAAACGGCGTCAATCTCAATAAACGTGTTGAACAAAATTTGAAGACTTTATTCAGCAAAATTGCATGAAATTGATATCATTGATTATTTTTTTTCTAAACCGCCCATCGACCAGTTGCCAAGCCGCCTAAATCGCAGTTGTGACAAAAATGAGACTTGGTAACCCTTAACTTCAGGCATCAAGATTTATGCATAAAAATCGTTATTAAAACAACAGATTAGTACAAGTAGGTTTTAAGCAAAAAATAAAACCGACTTCAATTCTCATACAAAAATTTAAGATTACCGTTAATTTCTTCATGACCAAATTAATATGGGATCACCAGTGAGGTAACACTTTTCCTTTAAAACAAGAATTATAGAAATCGGTTAACGTGGGCCAAAGTTATGCGGTAGCATCCAGAAAAAAATTTATTCCGACGAATTTTTAACCTTTCTCCTTTTTGTGAAATCGGTTAAAAATAATAGCTAGAGAAAATATCGCCTATCAAGGCAATGCCTTCAAAGAAAAACCATTTTTTTCGCGCTCCTGAAAAATTTGAGTGCGGTAAGATAGGCGGTTTTGCAATTGGTCGATGGGCGGTTTTTCACAACCATCGACGATATGCTAAGAACAGAAATTTCTCCAGAATTGCCGCTTTTATTAATTTTTAAGCAAGCCTATCAGGTAAAAATTAATTTATTTTAAGTAAATGCGAAATTTTTTTTTTTAAGTATGCGCGCGTGTTCGCTCATTTTTTGGACATATGTAAATACATAATTTCTCTTTTTCATTAAATATGTAAATGCGCTTGTTTGCATACCTCAGCACATACAGCTTTTTACTTTTGTATGCATGTACGTGTGCATGCAATTGTAAGTGTCTGACATGGCATTTAATGAGTAGCTCATTAAAACTACAACCGCTCAGCCAGGCAACGAGCATACAAGAACATGTTCCGGCCAACACAAGCGACCAATTAATGCATATACATGGACAATTATGAAATCCAATGATGTTACTAGAGTCCGACCGATTAATCGGCATCGGCTAGTATCGGCACAAAATTGAGCATCGGCATCGGTATCGGCATCGGCATCGGCCTTTTTTCGCCGATTATTTGGAATTTCTTTTCATATGTTCAGGTGAAGCGACAGACAACAGCCAAATTAAAAAAAATATTAGCGGGCAGCTCACGAAAATGATTTTTTTTTGGTTGGAGGTGTTTCATGTTTTTGCCATACAAAAGTATGTTCGACTAGAATTAAATGGTTTACAAATCTGCATACCAAAATTATGATTAAAAAGTTTGAAATTTTGGTGAAAATAAGCAGAATTTTTCTAGTTTTTGTACAAAGTTTGAAATCTGAATTTATATGGTGTTTGTTGTATACCAGCTAGACTTTTATAAAAAAAAAAATAATAAAAATTAAATAAACAAAAAACAAATGCCAAATGCCAAAGCCGGTCAAAATATCGCAATTCTTTTATTTTGTGGACCACTATCTTTATGTACATAAATACCTAGCATATAAGTTCTTATGCATTGAATAAAAACAGTGTATTTTAGCACAAAACAAAATGAAATTTTATGTTCCTAAATATTTATTGCTTAGCACCATTTAGAAAAGTGTTTTAGGTAATATACATAAGTGTGATAAATGTGTTATTTATTTTATTTATTTTTTTTTACATTAGAGTGGTGCAAAAAATTATTTTCCACGATAAGGTTTGGGGAACCTTCCGAAATTTTTCCTATTGCCGAAAGAGGTGCTGGTACCAAACTTTACGTTTCTAAGTATAAAGTTAAAGGATGCTCATGATGCTCATACTCTAGAAGTATTGTGTACATATATTAATCCATCAATTGGTTAAGTAACCTAAGAACATTTCAAATTTAAATTATCTAAAAAAATATCACAAGTTTCAGTTGTCATGGCAACAGCACCTTTTTTTTAAAAAGCACCAATATTTTTGCCAGTTTCACAGCGATCCACTAACGCATTTCAAGGTCACTGAGCACCCTGTATTTGTGGCAGTAGACAACTGAAAATTGGTATGGATGTTACAAATATTAAAAGGAGAAAACTAAGAGGGTACCCCGTTTTCTAGGATGAAAATTTTTTTCTCATACAAGAATTGGACCACTTTAATGTACATACATGTGTATGTATGTAATGTCATTTGTCATATTTTATGGAATCGGCAACGATATCGGACGATTCTTTCCTCATAAGCCGATTAATCGGCATCGACATCGGTACCTGAAAAAAAATTGCAATCGGACTCTAGATGGCACGAATACAAATACATCAACAGTTGTATTAAATTTATAACCAATATATGTGGACGTACCATACATATGTTTGTATGTGCGCTTACACGGATAATGCATACTTATGTACAGCTCAAATAATTACAATGAAATCCAGGAGTATCAAATGGCTGCTAATTAAGCAAAAAGTTCGCGAAAAAAAAATGTATANTAAAAAGCACCAATATTTTTGCCAGTTTCACAGCGATCCACTAACGCATTTCAAGGTCACTGAGCACCCTGTATTTGTGGCAGTAGACAACTGAAAATTGGTATGGATGTTACAAATATTAAAAGGAGAAAACTAAGAGGGTACCCCGTTTTCTAGGATGAAAATTTTTTTCTCATACAAGAATTGGACCACTTTAATGTACATACATGTGTATGTATGTAATGTCATTTGTCATATTTTATGGAATCGGCAACGATATCGGACGATTCTTTCCTCATAAGCCGATTAATCGGCATCGACATCGGTACCTGAAAAAAAAATTGCAATCGGTCGGACTCTAGATGGCACGCATGCAAATACACCAACAGATGTATTAAATTTATAAGTTATAAATTTATAAATTATTATTATTATAAATTATAACCAATATATGTGGACGTCCATACATATGTATGTATGTGCGCTTACACGGATAATGCATACTTATGTACAGCTCAAATAATTACAATGAAATCCAGGAGTATCAAATGGCTGCTAATTAAGCAAAAAGTTCGCGAAAAAAAATTGATGTATCGAACTGTTATAATTGTTTGCATTTGTAGTGAATATGTGAGCCTGTGTGTCAGGGACGATGTGGGTGCGCATACTTGATAGGACAAAAAGGAAAAACACAAAAGCATTTCCATGAAAATATGCGAAATAAAGCTGCTGTAAGTGCAGTAAGGTAAAAAATCATACAGCAACAGAATAACTTACAAATGAATGCGAACAATTAAATGAGGGTCAGCGCAGACGTACATACATACATATGTATGTACACATATATGTATGCACGTGTAGGATGCTGGTTAGCAGATGGGAGGCGCGAGGCGAGTCTGGCTGTCAGGACAACCAGCAGCGGTAGCAGCTGAAATGAAGTTGAAGTGAGTGCTAACCCAAAAGAAAAAAAGTAAAGAAAAACTCGAAGAAATAACAACCAGTGGCAGTTGAAAACAATGGCAGCGCTAGGCGATAGAGAAAGGAGCGCGGAGTGTGGAGAAAAGAGTGTAGCTGGATAAACTGCTTCGAGCGCTTGACGATCGAGTGCTTGACAATTGGACAGCAATGCGCTGGAAATTAACAAGCAACCATGGCAACAATATTCGTACAACAGAAAACCAAATACAAGAAGCAGAAACATCAGCATCGACATCAGCTTAAACAGAAGTATGGAAAAAATAATATTTACGAAAAAATTGCGATTTTAACGTGAAAAAAATTTATGTGGGAATAATAAAAGCTTATGAGAAGAAAATGCAAAAAAAAACCATACAAGAAATAAGTATTTATCAATGCATCGCAAAAGCCCCGAGCGAGCGCGTAATACCAACACACAGAGTGCCTGCGTTGTTGGTAACCGATTTGGGTTGCTTTTGCTGTGCGCGAAAAATATAGTAAAAAACTTACATGCCGGGGAGATTACGTAGAACAATGAAGGCAGGAGAAAGAAGTACGTATAGAGCAAATGCGGGTTGCATGCTTTTATGAGGATACATGCATACAGTCAGTGTCAAATGTAAGTGTACACCTAGTTCTAGTGAATATTATTCACAATTATTTTCATGAAATATATATTTTTTTCGTTAATTATTTATGAAAATATAGTTCATTCTATAGCATAAACCATATAAATCCAAGTTTCACACTTAATATAAAGTTCACAAAAACTTTTATTCAGAATTTCTAGAAAATTTTCGAGTACGCAGTTTTGTAGCCGTTCAATTTTTCATTAATTGTTTATGAAAATATAGTTCATTCTATAACATAAAACATATAAATCTAAGGCTGCATTTCTTTATTCATTCTGAACGTTTGGAATAAGCTTTTTTGTTTATTTATTCTTTAGAACGTTCCTGTTGATATGGTGACGTATATTTCAAACGCATTCTGTTTATTCCGGCTGTGAAATGGGATTATCCGGAATGTATAAAGAAACGCAGCCTAAGTTTCGCACTTTATACAAAGTTCACAAAAATTCAAACAATTTTCATCAAATTTTCAAAATTTTTATTCAGAATTTGTAGAAAACTCTCGAGTATGCAGTTTTACAGCCCGTGCAATTTCAGTATAATAAAGTGCAAGTTTCAAGTCGCTGGAAACTACCGTTTTTTTTTTTAGATTTTTTTTTGTGGAGGGTGATCAAATTTTTTTTTTATATGGAAAAAATGCGCAACCCCCTCCAAAAAAAACTTAGCATACCCGAAAATTTTCTAGAAACTCTGAATAAAAATTTTGAAATTTTCATGAAAATTGTTTGAATTTTTAAAAGTGTGAAACTGATTTATGTGGTTTATGTTATAGAATGAACTGCATATATATAAACAATTAAATTAAACAACAAAGTTCATGAAAATAATTGCGAATATTAAATTAGAACAAGGTGTACACTTCAATTTGACACTGACTGTATGTACACACGATGTTTATTGAAGTGCAGATAGTTTAGACAAAAAGGAATGGTGAGCGTTGGTAGTGAAGTTGCGCAAAAGCAACAATTAAGTATGTAAGCTGTCTGAAAGTGGACTTTGTTGTATGATATTCCTTCTGCACACATAAAACATACGTACATATGTATATGTGCAAGTGAGTAGCAGTTGGAGCTTAATAAAAGTATTACTTCCAAAATCGGAGATACCGGACTTAAAATACGCGAGTGAAAAGTAACTTTTCTAAAGAAATTAAAAGATAATAAAAACATAGCTACCAGTGAACGCTCGTATTAGGTTTAAGCGCTTACATTTGTGGAAGTTTTGTCATCTCAAACATTTTTTCAGCAAAAAAATCTCTATATATATATTTAAACGGAAAAAATTTTTGAGCGATAAAAAAGTTGGTACGCTTAGTACTAAAAAGTGATATCAAATGTACTAAATTTGAACGCGATATCTCTAAATCTGTTCCAAAAATAAAAAATA